CCTGTGCTAGGTGCAGGGTCTGCTGGCTGGGTGCTGGCAGGCTTGCACCTGGCATGGGCACCGTAGTCAGCCCGTGCCCCTTTAAGGGCTCTGGGGCCGGGAGGGGGGCAGAAGTGTTTCCCTGGTCGTGCCCAGAGTGGCCACCAGGGAAAGCTGGGGAGGGCTAGCCTCCCACTAGTTCGAATTAAGTGGCTACACAGCCCTTAATTCGAACTAGGCGTTAGTCCTCGTAGAATGAGGTTTACCTAGTTCAAATTAAGTTCGAACTAGCGGTTTGCCTGTGTAGCGCCTAGCAAAGTTAATTCGAACTAATGTCTCTTAGTTCGAATTAACTTTGTAGTGTAGACATTCCCTTGTTTAGTAATGTTAACTCCCATAAAATGAATATTAATAAGCAAATAATGAATACAATTATACCCGCTCCTAATTACTAATTTCTAATTAAATCAACGATTTCCTATACTACAAACTACCAGGTTGCAGAGATCACGAGGAATCTGACCCCGAAGATGTTATGCAGAGCCAATGAAGATAAGCAAGAGACACAGCAAAGTAGAGCAGCTCCATACTTATCTGGTTTCCTAGGCTACAGAACAGAGAGGGAGAGCAAGGTTATATATATATCAAAAATAATACTGGTCTCAACTGGACCCTATCTGCCCAAGATACAAAAACAAAAGGAAAAGGCATGTCCAAGGGCAACGCCCGCTCTGGCTGAATCCTGAACTACTGATGCAAAATGGCCATTCGAATCTTTTAATTATTTCACCCCCCAACACCGTTGTTTTTGTCTTTCTGCTAAAACACCCCCTCCCAGATTTTCTTCTGAAAATAATTATGGAAAAATGTTCCATTATGGGGAGGGAATTTCAAAGCAGGCCTGGATCCGAGCCAAACCGGCATAACGGGGATGTCGAGTTCCCCCTGCAAATGCTGATGGCCCACTGGACAGAAAGTTTCCTTTTCTCCCACCACAGGGGAGCGCCCTTGCAATCCGTATTATAATTCTTCTTCTTCTCCCTTCGCACGGCTTGGGTAGGTAGCAAGGGCTGCACATTTTTGGCGATGAAAGAAACCAAAGAACAAGCGGACAAGGACAGAGCCCAATGCATCGCAGAATTTAAACACGTGTCTATGTTAAGCAAGTGCTTAATTGAACTGAAGGCAGCGGATCGGCTAACCTGCCAAGGGTTCGGGACATATTTGAGTGTCTCCTGGAATCAGAACTGTCCAACCTGAACCTGTCCCGCCGTGACTTTGAATTGACTGACAGGCGGACAGGCAGGAGATCTCGAATCATGTCTCTGTTGTAGGAGTCACCGCTTGCATCCGATGCAGTGTGTGAACATTAGAATTTCAGGCACCGCTCCCTCCCTCCCAAGCAGTGATCGATGCATCAGGGTGGGGAAGTTGAACCTTTTCACCAGGTTCTGAATTCAACCACTGTCACTGAAACGTTCCTCGGACTATTTCTGATGCTGCTCAGATGCAGCTAATGAGCCCAAGTCCCCAATTCCCTTTGGAAAACAGGCGCAGCTACATAAGAAATGTTTTCTCCCCACTCTGCTGAGCTCGAGGGGACTGGCTACAGGTATAGAAGCAAGTGGGCAGAGAGAGGTGGAAAGTTCTTTTAAAGACATCCACATATTTTCCAGGGAGGAGGCCAGAGGGTGGAGCACAGAGGAATGAATCTGACTGGGACTGGGGACTAATGAACTTTGTGTCTTTGCTCAAAAAGGGTGACATGGTCTCATTCCTTTCACCGAGAATTTCTCCCCATTAGTGCTAGAAAAAGTGTTATGTTTGATAATTGTGTCTGTGCTAGAAGAGGAGGCTGAGAGGCCGTACCAGGCCTGTGCAGTAATTTTAATATACACGTTTGGGAGCATGTGTTGGAATATGTGAATTTCTGTGCAGGTATTTGTTGGGGAGCCCATGGGTAAAGGCTGGGTCCTCTTGTTGTAGCCCTTATATGTTTGTGAAATTCCATTGGTATGTTTATAACAACTGTCTGTCGGACAAACTGCGAGGGTATTTGTAGTGCTCTGTGTGTGTTTGAGAGTCATCTGGCTGTGATTGTGGGTCAGTGTCTTTGCATGTGTCTATGCACGTGTGTTAGGAAACTTGCACTCTATCTGTGTGTGTATGTGTGTGTGTGCTGTCTTTGACTCATGTACCAATATGCTTTTTCAAAGGTTCATAAATTATGTTTGCTTTGTGTGTGAAAAGGAATGCATGGTTGCTTATCGCTTCCTATCTGTCAGCGTGCCCCTCTGAGGTTTATATTTGTGCACTTCTGTCTGAGGTGTGAAATTAAACAATATCAGAAAGAAGAACAATCACTCCATTTAGATGCAGAGAAACAAGAGAACCAGGAAAAGAACTTGTGTGAGGATGAACTCAATTTAACATACTAGCCATGGGGCAAGCTCATTTTTGGTGGAGCCAGATTTACACCAAAATAACTGAGAATAGACTACGGTAGAACCTCCGATTTCAGAACACCCCGGGAACGGAGGTTGTTTATAACTCTGAACAAAAATGTTAAGGTTATTCTTTCAGACATTTACAACTGAACATTGACTTAATAAGCTGCTTTGAACCATCGTAAGATAAATGAATCAGTTTCCTTCCCTTGTCAAACCTCTTTTTTAAAATGTTAGTAGTTTATGTTTAACACGGTACTGTACTTCCTTTATTTTGTTCTATTTGAGTGCACACATCCAGTTCCAAATGACGTGTGTAGTTCACTAGTCAGTTCGTAACTTTGATATCCATAATTCAGAAGTTTTACTGCAAAACCCAAATGTGTGTGGATACCTCAGAAGTCATCTGGACTGGCTTGGGGACTAGGATTAGTCATCTGTGTTAGTGCTGGCAGAAAAGTGGTGCAAATGGACAGGGAAAATGGGACTTTTAAAAATATTTTCTTATACGTGCATTTAGTTTTCAAAATACGTTTTCCTTGAATTTGTAAAAAAAACAAAAGCAAAACCAAAAAAAGCACGAAGACTTGGGAGAGGTTTTTTTTTCAAATCTTTCCTTATCGTTCAAAATTTCAAGTTTTGTCCAAGATCAGCAATTTTATTAACGAATCAATGTGGAGCAAAACACATTTACTAAATTTCGGAGACAAAATGTATTTCCATTGTTTTGAAAATGCAGTATATTCCTCCACTGATTTCCATCCCCTGCAGAATTTTGTCACCTTCTTGTGTTGCTTCCTTCCTATACTTCCACTTTTTGAGTCCTTCTTTCGCTGTAGCGTTTAACGTTTTAATTTTCAGCTTCCATTAACTATTCTTTTAGAGAGTGTTCTACTTGAAATTCTACAGGCACCGGAACCTGCCACTTTCCATCTCCTGGAATACAGCCTGAGTGGGTAAGTAGAGATATCAGGTCAGAGGCATTTTGGGATTAAATGTTATTGATTATAGGGGTGGTGGCAGAATCCAGGTTGAGAATTTAAAGCATACTAGACAGTCACACATCTAAATCTAACTGGATTTCATTAAAAACAAGGAGGCGTCCTGTGGTGCCTTAAAGACTAGCATGTTTATTTCAGCATAAGCTTTTGTGGGTTAAAACCACATTATCTGTCTCCCTTACTCTGTAATTTCCCCTCCAGTCCATCTGACAGTCAGACAGATAGATAGTTGGGTGGGGTGGATGGGGATGGAGAGAGAGAGATGGATTTCATTGGGTGTTGCCCACCCATCTCCTGTAGATCCCAGAAGCAATTGTCCCCGAGTATCATGAACAGTTTGATTCAATCATAGATTTGCAGTCCGGAAGAAACCATCACGAGTATCTGGGGTGACCTTTGGTAGGCAAAGACCTCCCGCTCCCGCAAAGCAATTTCTGGATCAGATCTTTTCAAAAAACACATCCAATCGTGATTTAAAAATTGCCGATGACGGAGACTCGATCGTGGCCTTTGGTAAGGTGATCCAGTGATTAATGGGTAAAGATTTAGCCCTTATTTCCAGGGTGCTGCTGCTTTGAGCCACTGGGCACCTTTCTATGTGAGAGGACAAGTAGTCGCATAAGCTCCTCACGGCCACAGATGATTCCTGGCCTTTACTTGAGACCCTCCGCACAAGAGGGGATCTGGGGGCAGTTGAGATCGGGGTGCTCCTGGTAAGCATGGAGCCTGTGGAGGGGTGGTAGAGAGCAGTAGGGGGCTGATGAAACGGAGAAGTGCTAATGAAGAGATAAACCTGAACTCTGTGCAGCAACTAAGGTGCTGGAGTGAAAAGAAAATAAGGGGGAAATGAGACAAAATGGGGAAAACTCACTTTCACATTTTCACCGATATCCCTTCTCCCCCTCCCCATAACAAAACGGGCAAGAGCTTTCTAGAGATCTGATACGTGAGCAGAAGCAACACTTCTGGCTTCAATGCCCTTTTCAGGCTTTGCTATTTGGAAAAAAAAGTCTCCAACAACAGTAAGATGTTCGCACTCCCAGATTTTCTTTCTCTTTTCTCACTTGGTTCAGCTTTTTTTCGTTTGTTTTTCTTGCGTTGCAAACGTATTTTTCAAGGTTTTTGTTAATAATTTGTCAGCCAGCTCCAGGGCTGGCCGGCAACATTTTGGCACCTGAGGTGGGGAGCTCAAATGACGCCCCCATGGCCGCTCGCTTGGGCCAAAGCTTGGAAAGGTCTCGATTCTGCCTCCTTCCTGTTCCACTCCCCTCACGGGACTGCTCTGCTCCCTACATCTGCACCAGCAGCAGACACAATTTTCTACACTCTGGGGCCTAGTGGTGCCCCCCACAGTCTGGCACCTGAGGCGGCTGCCTCAGTTTGCCTCATGGTCAGGCCAGCCCTGGCCAGCTCTAGATAAAATTCCCTCTTCCTGCTCTGAAATCACAGGACCCAGGTCATTTGAGCTCAGAGGGAATCTGCGTTCCCGGGGATCAGTATTAGGCCATTGTCTGATTATATTCCTGTGTGTCTTCTGTCCTTCCTGTCTGTGCAGAGTCAATTACCCCGTCGAATGGCAGGGGGAAACCACAGCACAGCCCCTGGATTCATCCTCTTGGGATACTCCAGTCTCACGGACCTGCAGGGTTTGCTCTTCCTGGTGATCTACGTGGTGATCCTGCTAGGGAACGGCGTCATCGTCCTGGTCACGCTGCTGGACTCCGCCCTGCACACCCCCATGTACTTCTTCCTCAGGAACCTGGCCCTGGTGGAGATGGCCTACTCCTCCGTCACCCTGCCCAAGATGGCGGCCAATTGCCTGGCAGGGGACGGCAGCATCTCATTCGCCGGCTGTGCTGCCCAGATGTATTTCCTGCTTTTCTTAGGTGGCACGGAGTGTTTCCTGCTGGCGGCCATGGCCTATGACCGCTGCGTGGCCGTATGCAACCCCCTGCGATACACACTCATCGTGAACAGGGAGGCCTGTGCTTGGCTGGTAGCCGGCTCCTGGCTTGTCAACTTCCCGGTACACATCGGGCAGACGTATTTGGTGTTTGCTTTGCCCTTCTGCGGGTCCCATGAAATTAACCATTTCTTCTGTGACATCCCTCCGGTGCTGGAGCTGTCCTGCGCAGACACCTACAGGAATAAAATAGCCGTGTGCGCAGCCCTGCTGCTACTCGTAATCACCCCGTTTCTCTTCATTGTTAGCTCTTACATTAAAATCGCCGGCGCAGTTCTGAGGATGCCATCGGCCCAGGGCAGACACAAGGCCTTCTCCACCTGCTCCTCACACCTCACGGTGGTGACGCTGTTCTATGGCTCCGCCATGGTTGCGTATTTAAAACCGAAGACAGGGGACTCAGTGGACATGGATAAACTGCTCTCTCTGCTGTATACCATTGTGACTCCGATATTTAATCCCTTCATATACAGTCTGAGGAACAAGGAAGTGAACGTTGCCCTGAGGAAAATATTGGGTGGGAAATGACTGCGAAATACGCTACGTATTCCTCAACTAGTGTTCTAGATGTCTCTAAATTGGCCTCTGGGCAGTGAGGGCTGTAAGGGACGTTCCTGGCTCCTCAAGAGACGTTCCAGATTTCTGCAAATGGATTCTAGCCTCCTGGGCCAGTCCGCCGGACCCTCCTGCATCCCCGATTGCACAACGTTTGAGACTCACTGGCCAGCGGAAACGATTCATCCAGACGTATTCGTTGAGATACCTCCCTGTTCCTCCAGAACCTCACCCTACATTGTTTTGCTGGGGCAAGAGGCAACCCATCCCTCCCCACGCTGGTGTTGCCCCAAGGAAAAGGCTGCTTGTGGGAAGGGGAGGGAACCTAGTCACTCCAGAGCTCTTCTTTTCCTAATTAGCAAGGCTGCAACTGTAAGGCCATGCCTGCCGTTGGCTCTAGCATTGGCGTTAGGGTTGAAACCCAGGAACCAATTACTCTCCCTCTTGAGGGACATGACAGCCACTTGTGAGATCCCAGGACTGAGCCCTGGAGTGCAGGCTCCGGCATGGGGCTGAGGATGAGCTTTGGGGTTTGTCTAGACTACTTGCCATTGCTGACCGAGGCATGTAAATTAGACATACCGACATAGTCAATGAAGCGGGGATTTAAATATCCCCGCTTCATTAGAATAAAAATGGCCGCCGCGTTGTGCCGGCTCAGCTGCAGATCGGTTAACAAGGAAAGCCTTTGCCGACCGATTCCTTATGCCTCGTGAAACAAGGCTTACAGGATCGGTCAGCAAAGGCTTTCCTTGTTAACCGATCTGCAGCTGAGCCGGCACAATGCGGCGGCCATTTTTATTGGAATGAAGCGGGGAATATTTAAATTGACTATGTCGGGATGTCTAATTTACATGCCTTGGTCGGCAGAGGCCTGCAGTCTAGACATACCCTTAGAGTGCAGGGGGTCAGGGCTGGAGCAGGCGGGGCTGACCTCGTGTGGTTCCCGGTCAGCAGTGCAGCAGGGGGGCTAAGGCAGCTTCCTGCCTCTCCTGGAATCACAGACCATGTTGCACCCCAGAAGCAGCCGGCAGCAGGTTCCCAGCCAATGGGCGTGCGGAGCTAGTGCTCAAGGCAGGGGCAGTGCAGAGAGCCCTGTGTGCTCCCTTCCCTTCCCCCCACCTGCTGTCAGCTGCTTCCGGGGTGCAGCGCAGTCTGCGGTGCCAGGACAGGCAGGGAGCTGCCTTAGCCCCCCCACTGGTCACCTGATCAGCACCGAGACCCACCTGGGAGGTAAAAGGTTCCTTCCCAGCTCTTAGATGGGTTCCCAAGAAGTAACATGACCCTAGCAGGGGTAGATGAGAAGATGCGCTTGTCACATTACTGGATCTTGAGGGGAGCAGCCAGATCACTGCTGCACCCACAGGTGGGGGTGCTGGCCCCAGAAAATGGTATAAAAGGGGCCATGTGGGGTGCTGAATAGAAGCTTATTATCTGATAATCCTATGTACGCTATTTATGTGAATGTCTGTGTGTGCGGTTAGGAGTCTGTAGTCTGTGTGGATACTGAATATTTCTCTGCATGTGGTTGAGCATTGGGCAGAGCCCGGGACTGTGGACATGCTAATCAGCGAGGCCCTGTGGGACAATGGCACTGAATGGGCCAAGGACACACCTAAAGCATGAGGGCGGACACCTAAGAGCGGCCAGCAGAGAGAGGCTGAGGGCCAGGTGACCTGCTGCATACAAGAAGAGGCCAGGAAGGGGGTATAAATAGGCCATGTGGTCGATGCCATTTTGTTCTCAGCTCAGCACTTCATCCCAGTGGGAGCATTGCAGGGATCGAAGAGCCCAGAAGACCTGTGAACCCATCCTGATCGTAGGATGTGCAACACGAACTTTTAAACCAGCAGCTGTAACATCTCTGCTAGAGCCTGCATCGAGGACTGGGAGATTCGGTGCATGTAAAGTACTATTCTTTAACAACCTTACTCTCATGCTTTTCTTTCTTGTGATAATAAACCTTTAGCTATAGATTCTAAAGGATTGGCCCAGTGTGATTTGTGGGTAAGGTCCAGAGGATAAATTGACCAGGGATCTGTGGCTGGTTTCTTGGAACCGGACAGGACGTGTTCGGGGTAGGTGGGATTGGGTGCTAGGACCCCCCACCAGTGTATGAGGCCCGGGGCCATCTGGGGCAAGGATATTGCTGGGGTGTCGGAGGGGTTTTGCTCGGGAGGCTTCAGGCAGGCAGCTGAAGCGCTCTGTGGGACTGGTTTGTGGCCTGTTTGGAGAGGGCACCAGTCTGGGGGCTGTAAGGAGCCCCAGATTTGAGCAATTCGCCCTGAGCGGATGCCCTCAGCTGTGCCCAGACTCGGCCCAGTCTGTCACAGCGCTAAATTATTTACTTTGTGTGAGTACATACCGACTCCCAGCGTGAAATATCTGGTCTGGCAACCTCACAGCAACCCATATGCATCCCATAAACTGGGCCTGTCAACGGAGAGATGTAGATTAGGCATGTCGAAATTGCTAATGAAGCAGGGATTTAAATATTCCATTAGCATAAACATGTCTGCTGCTTTTTTTTTTAAATAAACCCTTTGTTGACAGATCCTGTATTCCTCAAAAAATGAAGTTTACAGATCTGTCGACAAAGGGTTTATTTTTGACAGATCTGCATCTAGACTGCTGGGTTTTTTTTCGAAAAAGCTCCATTTCGAAAAAAAGTGGCGGCCATGTTTATGCTAATGAAGCACGGGATATTTAAATCCTTATTTCAATTTCGACATGCCTAATCTACATCTCTCTGTCGACAGAGAGGTGTAGTCTAGACACAGCCTCAGTCTTCTCATTCCAAATTAAACCAGGCTAATTTTTTCAGTCTTACTTCATAGGTCTTCCTTCTCTAGACCTTTAATCACACTTGTTGCTCTGCATTCACATGTTCACACCCAGAATTGCTTGTCTCCCAGACAGAAGAAGAGGACATTATACAGGGGGAGGTCAACTAATTGGACTTTGTCAGAGCTCTCCAGTATCCCAAAATAGCACTGCAGTGTTGATGTAGCCACAGAGGCCTGCCATGAGGGAGGAGGTTGAGGATTCAAGAAGTCGCTGAAATAGAGGGAGGAGCCAAGATACTGGATACGGAGAACGTGGCCAATAGAAGCAATGAAGTATGGAATCCTGCAGTTTGAACTTGCGTTCGAGTGGGTTGTGTGTAGCTCCTGAAGAGAAAAGGCTCTAAAGAAAAGCACAAGAAAGATTAAACTAAAGAGATAGGCTAGGGTTGAGATTGCCAACGCTGCTTATGGGTCTGTACCTAACTAGCATCATAGAATGAGAGACTCCTAGGGGTGGAACAAACCTCAGGAGCCATTGAGTCCAAAACAAGACCAACCCCAACTAAATCAACCCAACCAGGGCTTTTTCAAGCTGGGATTTAGAGATGGAGATTCCACCCCCTCCCTAGGGAACCCATCCCAGCGCTTCCCCACCCGCCTAGGGAAATGGTTTTTCCTAATATCCAACCTGGACCCCTCCCCCGCAACTTGAGACCATTGCTCCTCATTCTGCCATCTGTCACCCCTGAGAACAGCCTCTTTGGAACCTCCATTAAGGTAGCTGAAGGCTGCTATCAAATCCCACCCACTCTTCTCTCCTGCAGACTAAATGAACCCAAATCCCTCAGCCTCTCCTCATAAGTCATGTGCTCCAGTCCCCTGGTCATTTTTGTTGACCTCCCCAATGTGTCCACATTCCTTCTGTAGTGGGGGTCCAGAACTGGACACAACACTCCAGATGTGGCCTCCCCAGTGCCGAATAAAGGGGAATAATCACTTCCCTAGCTCTGCTGGCAATGCTCCTCCTAATGCACCCCAATGCCATTAGCTTTCTTGGCTACAAGGGTGCCCTGGTGACTCATCTCCAGCTTCTCACCCTCTGTCATCCCCAGGTCCCTTTCTGCAGATTCTCATTGCGTGGTGGAACGTCTGGAAATCTCAGCCTAACAACATCACGAGATGATACCAGCATGATGGTCAAGAGAAATGTCAATATGGCATGTGCGCCCAGCCCCCAGAGAGCCTTGAAAGGTCGCCTATCGCTGCCTACATTTCATTCCAGAGGAGGATGAGGGAAAGGAATCACCTCCCACCTTCTCTGCCTGCGGGAAGGCTGAGGGGGAGCCCAAAATTCTGAAGAGGGGAAGTAAGTGGCAAGAGGGAAGGCTGGTTTAACTCTTTGATGACGTAGGGTCACCAGGCCAGCTGCTCTTCGACATGGTTCCCCTCCTGATGCCGCATCGGCATGTCAATATCCCGTTGTAGCTGCCTAACCCCACTCCGCAGCCAGTCACGGCAAAGCAATGGCTCCCATTACACATGCAATTGGTCCTCAGCTGTCCTAACGGCCAGAGAGTGGAGCCTTTCTTCCCAACTCCTGGCCCTGTGCCAGAGGCCGCCGAAATCTTTGCATCCTTCTGTAAGGCTGACGTTGCGAAGGCAGCTCTGGTTGCCTGGAAAACATGACAACGGAGTCTCTTTAGGGACAATTCCCATGTGGTCCCCAACACATATAGAGGAGATTGCAACACAGCGCACAGGGAATTGTGCTGCACAAGTGACCCTTTGTGTCAGAGTGCGTGTGTTAGCCGGGAAACTGGGTAGGGGCACTGAAAAACTGAGGAGGAAGAAGACGACACCTCTCTTCTGCTGTCAGGCTCTTCTCCCTCGCCCCGGTTCCCTTGCAGTGCATCTCTGCTGACTTCAGCGCCGTTATTTCCGATGCCTGCTGGGGTAAGTGAGAAGGGGCAGGTGTCCTAGTTCCTTCTCAGAAAGGGTTAAATCTTTGCTCAGTTGCTGTAATGCCCTCTGGAGTGTGTACTACTTTCTTTCTTGCTTGCTTTCTTGCTTTCTTTCACAGATTAAAAAGCAGAAGAACAGAATAGTAAAGGCATAGGGTGGGGAAGGATGAGAAAAATAGGATGCGGCAGGAAGAGGAAAGGAGAGTAATATCTGATCTTCCATCTACTATGAATGAATTAAAAGCAATTAATTATTTAGAACTGACTTTTTTTCAAATGTGTCCCTATTTTTTGACACGTTACCTGCCCGTTAGCTGACAGGTGCTGCTCTGCTTATCTTTTCACTACTAGTTCACCGCCCATGCAACGAATAGGTGTAGTTTGTAGACTCATGTGTTTATAGACAACCTCCCAAATGACTGAGAGATGAACAGTGCATGGTGGGAGACCATGAACCCCAGCAATAATTAAACCGAGTGATCTCTAAACAGAAAGAGCCCTGGAATTTCTGGTAGTTTTTTCCATGACTTTCCAAACTGAGCAGACAAGAGAGGCGTCCAAGTGATGTGGGGGGTTCTTTGTGTGTGCTGGTGGTTGTGTTGCTTTGTGCGGGTAGGGTTGGGCTGGGAGATTTGTGCTGAGTTCTGTGAGCATGTGCAGTGATGAGGGGCTGTGTGCGTGTGTTGTGCCTGAGTATGCTGGTCATGTTGTGTGTGTGGTTGTGTTGATTTGTCAACCGTTGTTGGTTCTTATTTCCTGCCAACTGGGCAACCTTCCCTTTCCTGTGTAGATGCTCACATTGTTATTTACAAATAACTGTGCAGTGTAGTCGCACCCTATGTGAGTCATGCCCTTGCAATGAAAATGCCAGTGTTTCCTGATTACAGCATACAAACTGGAATAAGTGTGCATCTGTGTGTGCATGTGTGTATGTAAAGAATGCCATATTCTCCATGTGCATGATGAAATGTTGGGTTCTTCTTGCGTGGCTACATGTGTAGGCTGGGGCATGCAGGGAACTGGGCCATCAATTATGTGCCAGATCACCTCTGCAGCTGTGTGAATAAATCAACCTCTTTCCATGTTTCCATGCACATAAGGGTGCTGTCTCCAATTAGCGAATTGCAACTCCATCTGACCTTTTTTGGCAGCAATAACAGGGTGGTAAAAAACCTTCAGGCTCACCCGATCAAGTTCCCCTCTCTGAACAAAACCAGTCTGTGTGGATTGGTTCCTACCACAGAGCCCATATGTCTTGGAACTGGGTAATGGCCAGTCAGGGTCCCTAGATTTGCATGTCTGACACTCCTGTTTCACCAGGGATGGGCCATGGAGTGGCTGGTGGCTCCGGGTGGCTTTGCCACGGATTCCCAGACATTCCTTGGTGCTCTGTGTTGCCTGCTCTGGAAGAGGTGCCCTCACCTAGAATGATGTTTGTAACGTGCAATAGCATTCATGAAACCAACCAGAAATAACAACTGGACAGTGATGTATGGGCCAAACCATCATGGCCCCCGTAGCCAAGAAGGCATCTGCAGTCCTTCTTAATCCGTCTCCCCGGGCATCCTCTGTACTGTGTGCCAGATATTCAAAGGGGCCTCTGCAAATCCTGTCACACGAATGCTTTTCAAAATCTGGTCTGTAGGCACGTTTGCAAATGTGGCTGTTCCCCATCAATTTTAGGCGCTGTACAGAAGTTAAAAGGAGATGTGTATTCTTGCAAAAATGTACATTGCTTGGGGACAGACTTAAGAGAGTGCTCCCCACAGTGTGGTGGGAAAACGAGTCGCTCAGGTTGAGGTGTGATGTTAAATACATGATTGAGGGCACTTCTGTGAGAAGGAGGCAGAAATAGAAAGGGCTGATGAATGGGAGGCGCACCAAGTTTCTTTTCCTAGATCATATTGAAGTATGATAATGGTGAAGAATGACACTCGCCAGCACAGGTGTTAACGAACTTTGGAAAGTGCCCGCGTAGCTTTGCGTGCATTTTACAGAAGGGACAATGAGCATGAGGAGAAAGCTCTTGCTTCGTGCACCTCAAAGTGCAGTAAGAAAGGTAAATACCCTACAGTTTCACAGACAAGGATACCGGGGGGCATGACGTGAAGCAGTGATAAACCCAACGTCAGGGAGTGGACGAGGTAGCATTAAAACCCAAGTTTCTGGCATCAAATTGTACTGCAGCAAGCTGGACTCTGAGTGGAAATGTGGGTGAATGTCATCCGAGCCCAGCAGTGGGTTGGCATTTATGAACGACCACAAGAGAGTGGAATCCAGGCCCTTTCAGTGTGCGCTGATTATCCCAGACCGTGTGGCCAAGAAATCCATGAGGATTTAAAGGAGGCTGAAAGCGACATGCTTAGTGACACTGGACAACGGGAAGGGTTCCCATGTGATTTAGCTTAGGCACCCTTGAAAACTTTTCCCAGAATACTTTGGTCATCTAGAGTCTTGACCGATCTCTTGGGATGGGACCACCGGGGGAAGCTGGATTTCAAATGTTGACTATTTTGAAAAGTTAGACTACAAATTGCACAATTTGTTTTCTTTCCCCTAGATGAAACCCCCAGCACACCAACACCAGGGAAACCAGACGACCATCACCGAATTCATCCTCCTGGGATTCGGGGATCTCCTTCAACTGCAGACGCTTCTCTTCCTAATGTTCCTAGGCATCTACATTGTAACTGTGGTTGGGAACATCCTCATCGTGGTGCTAGTGGTGACCGATCGGCACCTCCACACCCCCATGTACTTCTTCCTGGGGAACCTGTCCTGCGTGGAGACCTGCTACACCTCTACTCTCCTGCCGCGCATGCTGGCCAGTCTCCTGACAGGGGACCGGACCATCTCATTTAGCGGTTGCCTCACTCAGTTCTATATCTTTGGTTCCCTGGCGGCGACAGAATGCCTCCTCCTGTCAGTGATGTCCTACGACCGGTATTTAGCCATCTGCCAGCCGCTGCACTACGCAACCCGCATGAACAGCAGGTTCTGCCTCCAGATGACCACAGGCTCTTGGGCAAGTGGCTTTCTGGCTTCGCTGCCAACCATATTCTTCATCTCGCAGTTCACGTTCTGCGGCCCCAACGAACTGGACCATTTCTTCTGCGATCTGAGCCCAATAATAAAACTGGCCTGCAGTGACACCCGCCAGCTGGAAGTTTCTACCTTCATACTCTGCTTTATCCTCACCCTGCCTCCATTTCTATTGACCGTGGCCTCCTATGTGTCCATCATCTCCACCATCCTGAAAATCCCTTCCTCTACTGGAAGGCAGAAAGCATTTTCCACCTGCTCCTCACACCTCATTGTGGTGACCATTTTCTATGGGACTCTAGTCACTGTCTACCTGTTACCTGACACTGAGTCACTGCGGGACCTGAACAAAATGTTCTCCATCTTCTACGGCGTCCTGACCCCTTTAATCAACCCACTCATCTACAGCCTGAGAAACCAGGAGGTAAAGCGAGCCTTGAGAACAGCTCTCCTTCCGTGTTTGACTTTTACTAGACTACAAAGGTGCCAAGCCCATAGACCCATGCGCAAGGGGCCAAGCATAGGGATGTGACTGAGGTGAGAACGCCCATCTCATTGCTGTGTGTCACCTGAACCCATAAATAACAGGATCGGGACTTCCCTAATCCACGGGGAGGCTCTGGGTGTTGCCTACCCCTGACCGTGTGAGAGCACACGGGGGAAGAAATAGACTACCACCGGCCATTGAAATGTCTGAAGAATTCTGAGTCCCCTCCGTGAGCGTTTCACACTTATTCTTTGAGTGTGGATGGCTGTGCAAGTCGTCTGAGTTCATCAGAATAAACCAATTCAGCTTGTTAGAAAGGCGTCCTTTCATGCACTGAGATTTGTCAGCTCTCCTTGCTTTGACCCTAACAGTCTCCAGACTGGAATCAGCTCCCTCCCCTTACGCGTTCCACACTGTTCGAACACACCTGGCGCAGGTTGCCATCGCTAGGTTTGAGTGCTGCCAAAAGGGGAATTAAAGTCGTGTGCCACGATTCGATTAGCAATGAACAATGGCCGGGGCCAGGTCAGTGGCTCAGGCCAGTCCTCAGGGAGGTCATGGCAATGGGAGAAATAATTCACCTGCTCCTTGCTCTTCTTCTCCTGCTAATGCACCCGCTGCAATTCTTTGATCGGGAGGGCTCTACAAGGGGAGGCAAATGTTCATTGGGGCCAGGGTTTCTCATGGATGACTTGGTCCCCATTGGTGCTCTTGACATTTCCATGCCTACAGGTGACTTGGTCCAGCCCATCATCAGGGTAGTGGGAGAGCCACTCTAGTCTGTGGATCTTCCTTAGCAGCTCTGCTGCCTAGCCTACCTGTAACCCATCTGACACTTTCCTCCCCACGTGCAGTACTTCACACTTGGTTCTACTGACTTCTCCAGTTCTCTAACTTGTCCGGTCTCCCTGGCATTCTTATCTTGGCCTCCAAAGCGCTTGTCACTGCTTACTGCTTGGAGTTTGTTTGTTTGTTTGCTTGCTTGCTTGCTTCCTTCGCTCTAGTTTCTGGGTCAAGACACTAAACAGAGACAAGATCCTGAGTACACCAAACTTCTTGAGCTCTTGCTGATCCACCAAGGTGGAGCGAAAGGAGCCAGCATGTTTGTAGAAGGAGAGACATTTCCAGTTGAACTCCTCCATAGGACAAGCTGTGTGCATCAGACTTGTGACAATTGCACACTCCAGTTAGGTTGGAGGAACAATGGGTTAGAACATTGGACCAAAATTCAATTGAGTATGAATCTTTGGACCTGATTCTGACTAATACAAGTAGCCCCCTTCCCTGTAGTGGAAGTTTCCCTAGGTAATAATTCAGTTAGACTCTGAGTGCTTGGCATTGACTGTTATGAGGATTTGGGGTGCTTCTATTGTGGGGAATGTTCCTGGTTGCTATATGAACCTGGTAGAATCAGATGGTAAAAGTCTCTGGCTACGTCTACACTAGTGTGATCTTGCGCAAAAACTCTTTAGTGCAAGAGTTCTTGCGTTAAAGTAGTTGCACAAGAGAGCATCTACACTGGAATGTGCTTTTGTGCAAGATCATCTTTGCCAGTGTAGACGCTCTCTTGGGCAAGAAAGCTCTGATGGCCATTTTAACCATAGGGCTTTCTTGCGCAAGAAATTCATGTTGCCTATCTACACTGGCCTCTTGTGCAAGAACAGTTGTGCAAAAGGGCTTATTCCTGAGCGGGAGAGTCAGAGTTCTGGCGCAAGAAGCCCTGATTTCATACATTAGAACATCAGTTTACTTGTGCAAGAACACGTGGCCAGTGTAGACAGGCAGCAAGTTTTTGCACAAGAGCTGCCGCTTTTGCGCAAGATCGCACCAGTGTAGACACAGCCTCTGAGTCTCTGCCCCAACTCCCTTTTCTGCCTAGCACTGAGAACGCTCCTTCTTTTCCATAGAATGGACCCTTGGGACCTAGGACAGATAAGGGGGGCCCAGGATCACTCCTAAGTGGTAAGAGCTAGGTCCACCAGATTTGGGAAGCAGCTTCCTCTTAGCCTACCCCCGACCTAGCTTTTAGTTAGGATGTGTCGGGACACGGGGATGTGCCTGGAATCCAACTCTTTTCCCATAACTTGGAAAGGGAGGGTCTGATAGGAAGGAGTTATGCTCCTCAGTGACCACTAGAGGCAACGAGCATGCGGGACAGGTATACTTAACCACTGCTCTCATTGAGGGATTCTCAGGAGGCAAGTTAATGTGTTGCCACACTGGGACACCCTCTTCTTACTGGCCACTTCCCTGACATGGTGATCACCGACTTGAGTTTAAACCGCATACAATTCATTAAACAGCAATTGTTAAAAAATAAGGGGAAAACTGAGGGCATTAAAGGACTGAGGAACCTCGCCTGGGGCACGTGGGTCATGCCATAAACTATAGGCTCTGGGGAATTACAGTCTAATCCTTACACATCCCCGTCTTCCAGCCCAGGCTCTAAAGGTGCGACGGTGATACTACGGGTAACCCACAGCCACTTTTACTGGTGCAATCAGTGAAGACAAGAAAGCTCCAGAAAGATAGCATTCGGCATTC